GAAGGCAGGCGCTCAACCACGGAGCCACCCAGGCCGCCCCATGACATGAGCTTAAAAGAGAAGTTGGTATCATCTTAATTAAATAAAAACATAATTGTGGAGGTTTTGGAAAATATGAAGCCAAATGTGAGAAATATCAATAGCATTTTAGCTTAGGAAGTCTACGTAGCCTGATGACGCTCCGTTTCTCATTTCAACAGACCGTAGCCTCTGAGATACCTGTCGAGGGCGCGTCTGCCGGGTCCTCGGGCCTTGAGCAGAGGGACGCGTGGGTTGTGAGGGGGCACAGCAGCAAGCCGTGTCCTCTCAGAACTGCTCTTGGTATTTGCCAAAGTATTTGTAGAAGATTCTGTAAAGATCCAGTGTGTGGGAAATACACACCGTGTGGGCATCCCAGCGTAGACACGAGCGACACGCCGCACGTTTTTAGATCATCTGACGGTCTGCAGTCTCATACATTCTAAAAGCCCCTTTTGTTCCTTCCGTCTCCCTTCTCCGTCCGTTCTGCTTCGGAGTCATCGTTGATACTTTAATCTCAACTCTTAATTATTTAGCTGGTAGTGAAAGTCTAAATACATGTGCACACACGATAATGCTCAATAAATAAATAAATCAGTTATATGTGGTAATTTAAGTTGTTCTTGTTTGTTTTCATAAGTTTATCCAATATTGTCACTGGCTGATTACTTTTATCGTAACATGAATTTAAAAGATCACGGTGGTTCCCTCTTGGCTCAGAGGTCAATGCTGACGCTTATTTTCACGGATACGTTTTTCTCTAGTTCTAAATTCCCTGCAGTGACTGTGCATCACTTTGAAGATAATCAGGGTTTTTTCGTAATAAAGTGGAAACATTCTGTTGTAGCGTCTCAAAACACGGGCGCCCGATTGTGAAACACAGGTACTTGTACTTTTGTAAGATCTAATTCCTCATCTTATTTTTTTAAGATTTTATTTATTTGTTCATGAGAGACCCAGGCAGAGGGAGAAGCAGGCTCCACGCAGGGAGCCCGACGTGGGACTCGATCCCGGGACCCCGGGGTCACGACCTGGGCTGCAGGCAGGTGCTCAACCACTGGGCCCCCCAGGCGTCCCTAATTCCTGATTTAAAAAAAAAAAAAAAAAAAGTCCCGAGATGAGTGTTGCCTATTTATGACTTTGAAGTAAAATAATTGATAAAATTTGAGACTTTTACAGTGGGAGGAAGTGCCAGGGGCCGCGAGGCCTGCCTGGGCCCCGAGCCTGAGGCCTGCGCTCCCTGCCCCAGAGCAGGACCCCCCGCATCTTGCTCTCTCTCCTCATCCTCCCGTTGTCTTTCTGCCACACGGAGGAGCTAAGACATAAAGTTGCTAAATCATAAAAGCCGTGACTTTTTTACTCTGTTTAAAATGTTAAACATGCCGATGTCCCATTTCTTTTAAGAGAATGCTAAAAAAAATGAAAAAGGAAAAAGGAAACTCTTGTTTTTCACTGAGGTCCATGCCTAGCAGAGGGCGCTGGGATGGATTTCCTCGTGGGGTGACCTAAGGAGCCCGGGTCCTCAAGGTGCACCTGCCTCAGTGATGCTCCGCGGGCCGCTGAGTGCGCTCCGGGGGGGTGGGGGGGCTCCGGGGTGAGCATCCCCCCCCAGCGTGGTGCAGGTGCCCGGGTCAGGGTTGCGGGTAGGGGGCCTCCGGGGTGAGCACCCCCCCCACCCCGTGCACGAGCCTGCGTCTGGGTCCAGCCGCCGGGAAGGTGGGTGCGCTGGGTGCCCCCGGTGGGGGCCTCGGGGCCGGCGCCCACGCACAGGTGGAGGTGCCCGGGTGCTGCTGAGCCTCCAGGCATCCAAGCCCCGCGCCAGGGGCCGCCCCGGGACCCGTGACCCTGACACCTGTGCGCCGGGACACCCGGGGGCCCCGGCCTGCACCCCCCCGACCCACACGAGCCTCGCGCCCAGCCCGGCCTCGTCCCTGCGCTTCCAGCAAACCAGCCCTGCGACGTGGACACGGTCCTGCAGGGGAGCCCGGCCCGGCCAATCCTCGGGGGCATGAAGGGCCCTGGGGCTGCGTGGCTCCGGGCACCCTGATCGGGCCGTGTGGGGCGTCGTGGATGCTCCTCCCGGGCTGGATGCTCCTCCTGGGATGGGTGCTCCTCCGCGGGCTGGGTACTCCTCCCGGGATGGGCGCTCCTCCACGGGATGGTGCTCCTCCGCGGGATGGGTGCTCCTCCGCGGGCTGGGTGCTCCTCCGGCCTGGGTGCTCCTCTGCGGAATGAGTGCTCCTCCGCGGGATGGGTGCTCCTCCGCGGGATGGGTGCTCCTCCCGGGCTGGGTGCTCCTCCTGGGATGGGTGCTCCTCTCTCAGTACTCGCAGTGCTCCTGCTGCCCTCGCCAACCCCGGGGGCGTCCTCCCAGGGTGGGTGCTCCTCCAAGTACTGGCAGTGCTTCTGCTGCCCCTCGCCAACCTGGGGCCGTCCTCCCAGGGTGGGTGCTCCCCCCGGGTACTCACAGTGCTCCTCCCGCCCCTCGCCAACCCCGGGGGCATCCTCCCGGGATGGGTGCTCCTCCTCCAAGTACTCGCAGTGCTCCTGCCACCCTCCCCAACCCAGGGCCTCCTCCCATGCAGGAGCCACCCACAGGTGCTCCTTCCCTGTTTCTGGGAGCACTGCCGTGCTCAGCGGTCCGGGCCAGGGCTGGGATGAGCGGAGCTAGGGGACCGCACCTGCCTGGGTCCCCTGGGTGCCCCACGCTCCTCCTGCAAGGACCGTCCTGGGCCCGCGATGCTGCCTCCCGCCGAGCAGGGTCCAGGGCAGCCGTTCCCATTCCGGGGTCCAGGGAGGTCACCCCCCCCCGCCCCAGGGCAGCCCGGCCGGTGGCCCAGGGACCCCGACGAGGCCGGGGGGCAGGTGCCCGCCCACATCAGGACACAGGCCCTCCTTCCTGGTGAACCCCGCCGGGCACAGGGACCCGGGTCCCCCGGGGGCACGACCTGGGTCCCCAGGGCCTGTGGCACCACAAGTGGGCCATGGGGCTGGGCTGTAGGGGAGGAAGGACCCGAGCACCTGCCTCCCCCCAAGGATGGGGACCTGCACCTGCCCGGGTGGTGGGCCCGCCGCACGGAGCACCTGCCCCCGTATTTTGTGGCCTGAGTGTGTCTGCCTCCTGCAGGCCTGGCCTGTCACTGCTGTCCCGGTTCCCAAGGCCCCGCCGAGGCGTCATCCGCGGCTCTTCCAGGTGGGTCCCCTAACCTGCCCCAAGGATGCAGTGTCCGCTGTGCGGTGTGAATGCGCTCAGGGAACCACAGCAGGCCCCTGGAAAACAGACGCGGATTTCTGTGCTCACTATCACTTTTCCAAGAATGAGGGAAGGAGCACCGCGTGATGTAAGAGGACACCCCGGCTTTACTATTTTGCTCCTTTTCACGCTGGGGGTGGACATTACAAGATCCTACAGCGGGCAGCTCAGGGGGCCCATCGCTTGAGCACCTGCCTTCAGCCCAGGCCGTGACCCCGGGGTCCTGGGATCGAGTCCCACATCGGGCTCCCTGGGTGGAGCCTACTGCTCTCTTTGCCTGGACCTCTGTGTCTCTCATGAATAAATGAATAGATGAGTAATATCCTTAGAAAAAAATCCTACAGCTTTACCTGATATAAAGTGCACGCTCGCACACACGCGTATTCGTACAAGAAGCGAATGCAGAACGCACTCAGGTGTTGCAACTGGTACTGTGTGGCGCTTACTGCATTTAAGTGTTTGCTGTTTATGTAGAAATATTTTATAGGATAAAATACCAAATTTCATTTCTGATGATTCTTACATATTTCATGAGATTGGACTTGTGTTTAGGAGGTCTTTTATCTCTTCGTGATAGAGATCCTGTTACCATGTGGTCACTATTAGGGACCTTGTTCTCTGACTGGTCGGGGTGGGGGTCGGGGGTATGGATCAGGTATGAGCCAACAAATATGAGCCAACAGGGATCCCTGGGTGGCGCAGCGGTTTGGCGCCTGCCTTTGGCCCAGGGCGCCATCCTGGAGACCCGGGATCGAATCCCACGTCGGGCTCCCGGTGCATGGAGCCTGCTCTCTTTCTGCCTGTGTCCCTGCCTCTCTTTCTCTCTCTCTCTGTGTGTGACTATCATAAATAAAAAAAAAAAAAAGATTCAAATATGAGCCAACAGCCTTCAGGGATATTCTAAGATTTAGTGAAATCATAGATCATCAAGTTTGTTTTTTTAATGCAGTTTAGCTTATAGCCCTGATGGATGGAATAATTTGTCTAAAAGAAATTTGCGTTTTAAAAGCTTTCACACTGTGTTAGTGTCATAGTTGGAAAAACAAGGAAAATGCTTATTTGGAATTGTGAACTGTATTGAATCATAGATTATCTTAAAATATTGATATTTTAAAATATACTATGACATTTAAACCAAGTAACCAAAAAAAAGCATTTATATGCTTTGAATTTACAGATAAATAAATAATTTACAAATTAGTAAACGTGTTTTAAATTTTAAATTTTGAGGTCAACTTTACTCCTTTCCTCCGAAGGTAGTGAAAGTAGCTTTAGTTCTCTTTCCCATAAAAATCTTCAAGCAAACTATTTAGGGGGCCCCTAGGTGAGCCAGCGGTTGAGCGTCTGCCTTCAGCTCAGGTCATGACCCTGGGGTCCTGGGATCGAGTCCCGCACCAGGTTCTGTGCTCAGAGTCGCTTCTCCCGCTCCCTCTGCTCCTCCCACCCGCTCAGCACTGTCTCTCTCTCTCTCTCTCACGAGTAAATAAAATCTCAAACAAAATCAGTCAATCGCATATTTAGGAAAAGTATGTCTTAAAAAAAGTCTTTGAATGATAGGAGTCGTCTGGTAGCGTCCTTGCGTTTTCACGTAACATCAAATGATGTCAGCTGCATGCCCTCCGCGGGCTGGGCTTCGGGTCTGCGCCACCACCTGCCCGTGGGCCCCGCTAGGCTGTCTCACGGTCCCACTGACCCGGGGACGCCTTATCTGACGTCTGGCCATTTTCAGTTTCTCGGCAGCACCGAGGTGGAGCAGCCCAAAGGAACAGAAGTCGTGCGGGACGCCGTGAGGAAGCTCAAGGTAGGACACTCCCGGCCCACGCGGCCCCTGGGCCCGTCCCGTCAGCCAGGAGTGGCTTTGTCCCCGTAAGAGTGCAGGACCGTCGCAGGCCAGGGGGCCAGAGTCAGCGATGAGTGTGCACCCACAGGGATGGCTCCGGAGGGGTAGCGTTCAGTTCATGTCTGCCCGTGACCTCCACGCCCATGGGCCGCGACGCGGGGGGCCTGCGGGACATTGAGGAGCTGGCCCGCACCCGACGGCTGGGCCCCGGCGTCCAGCTGGCGGTGGCATCCGGCCAGCTCCCGGGCAGCACACCTGTGCAGGTGTGCCTTTGGCCGTGGGGCCCGGCGGGGGTCTGCACCCTAGGTTAGGGCGCCCAGGAGCCGTGGCTTTGTCCCCGCGCGGATGGGGGGACCGGGACACCCAGACAGCACAAGAGACGCGACCGACCGCGCGCTCACAGTCACGTTTCCCGAGACAGTTCCCTAGAAGCCGCGGCCCGTCCCGAGACGCTGTTCTCCGAGGCACTCGGATGCGAAACACTCCCGCAGCCGAAGTCTCCTCTTTATCCCATTAAGAAAACCCAACACACCACTACTTTTTTTTTCTTTTTACACAACTCATTGTTACTCTCTGTAGTTATTCCCACAGCTTTTTTTTTTTTCCAGAAACAACCCTCCTCTAACTGTATTTGGTTTAAAGACCGTCCAGTTATTTTACGAGAGGGTCAGGCCGTTGCTTGTGTCTGGCAGAACTGTAGACATGAAAAAATACCTTCTTGCTTTGAGAATGTCGCATCAGACGGAGTCCACGGAGTGTGTAAATTGAACAAAAGTAGAAGTGGGGTGGCGTGTACTCTAGGGGAAGACAGTGAAGTGGATAATATGTTCACCTGCCCGTTTTACACGATTTACATGATTTACAATGCTTTCAAGTAAATACGCCAAAAGTCTCCAAGATGCTACCTGTCCCATTTGGGAAAAAAGCGGGCGAGGCCACCGTTTCTCTGCAGCCCTCATCAGGTGGTGGCCCCGACCTGCCCTTGTTGGGTCAGGACTTGAACGCGCTGAGGAGGGTTGGAAAGGCCTCGAAGCTTATGAACGACACTTGAGGTTCCCCTTTAGATGTTTAAGATCCTGCAAACTCGGCCTGAGTCCAGCTTAACTGCAATCAGAATTTTTAGAGAAGAATAATGGTATTTATACTTAAAATACGTCTTTGTATCCAGGAGGTTCTTTATTCAGTCGCCTCAGAGCCTGAACCAAAAGGATTAGGTCACATTGCGACCACATATAACGTAGAATATTCGAGATGAAATGCTTTTAAACAGTGGCTAGTTTTCAGGCATTTTTGTGAGTCTGTCTTTGCCGTTCCTGTGTCATTTCCCATTTGGAAATGCACTCCGTTAATAAAGGAATGTGATTTGCAGTAAGAATGCAGCATAGTCTAAAAATGCATGTTCACTTGATAATTTTTGCTTTCCGAGTGTCTTCCAGAATAAATGTTTCTCTAATGAGTAATCCTTAGGCTGCTGATTGCAAAATTTTTGTACATCTGGAAAGTGTATTTCAGGGTAATGATCTGTAAACAAATTGAAATAAATAAAGCAATGCTGTTTTCTTTAACCTGATTTTATTTTATATATACACATTTCTTGGTGTCAGAGGTCAGAGGCTACACTTCAAAGCCTTCAAGAGTATCTACATTTATGTTAGAAAAGTAGACCCAGGGATCCCTGGGTGGCGCAGCGGTTTGGCGCCTGCCTTTGGCCCAGGGCGCGATTCTGGAGACCCCGGATCGGATCCCACGTCGGGCTCCCGGTGCATGGAGCCTGCTTCTCCCTCTGCCTGTGTCTCTTCCTCTCTCTCTCTCTCTCTCTCTCTCTCTCTCTCTCTCTCTCTGACTATCATAAAATAAATAAAAATTAAAAAAAAAATATTTAAAGAAAAGTAGACCCGGTTTCCTTTTTAAATCTGGTGTAGAAATGGCCAGAAGGTGGTGCCATGGTTCCACCAAAAAAAACCACTTTTTTTCCTCCTTCACTCTATTTTGTGTGCACCTCCCCCATTTCAATTTCCTGCTTATTTTTCTTAAACATATGGATTCTGACTGCCTTTCTATCTATTCTAGTTCAGTGTTGGATTTTATTTGCCACATGAGTTAATATTTTACTTCCTCATTTTTGAAAACTTTTCAGTATTTTATATACTGGTTTTTTTGACAAGAATTTAAAATTCGGGATTAATATAAAATAATGGAATACTTAGAATGTTTTCAATGATGTATTTTTTCATGCTCCCGTGTCTAATTAATGACATCTGATTAATTAATTATCATTAATTAATGACATCTAATTAATGATGTCCGATTAATTTTTCAAGAAAAAAACTTAGAATCTTGATTTTATTACGTACAATTTTCCTGTCACTTTGTAGAAAATTTATACTTTATAAATTTTTCTTAAATAAAGTAGTTTTTATAGGTGTTAAAAGTTTTATTTTCAGATTTCGTATTCGCCATAACATTTTCTCAGTCATATCCGGACATTTCTATTTCTTAATGTGTCTTATCCTAAGGTCTAAGAAAATACCAAATTTTCCAAAATGTAATAATTTATAAGCCCTTTCAAACGTCTATATGTTTAACAGTATTGTTATAGTAATAAATCTCATTTTTAATAGTGTTTTACTTATTTTTATTCATACAACTAGTACGGATGTCAGAGGATTCGATATATTTTATAAATGATCTGCTCGTGGGGTTTACACATGGATGAATGTCGATACAGGGACCCCAGTCCTCTTAGTTTTGGGAGATCAGCAGAGGGCAGCCCTCCGGGACCCCGTTGTCAGAGGGGACACCCCTCAGCCCCGTCCAGCTAAACTGCAGTCACGAGAAGGCCCCGCAGCCAAGGAGGCCCTGGGACTTGTTGCTGCCCTTGTGCCTCTTGGTCATTTCCCTCGACCTCAGGTGCCCGACGTAGCACCACACTGCTTTGGTCTTGGTAACCAGTTATTTCATCAATCAAGTGTTTAGCGCTTACTTTAATTATGTACCTACGCAGCTGATTCCCTATAGGGCCACTAGGGATATGCTTAAGTAAATTAACGATTAATAAGAGCCACGGAGAAGAAGAGTGGCTCTGAGTGCTTGGCTCACGGTGATAAATCCGTTGGTTCTCTTTCCTAGTCACGTATATTCCCTCGGCAGTATAGTTAGATTTCATTTTTTTTTAAAGTCCTCCGAGAAAGAAATAGAAATTGTGTGATTATGCCATTGAAACCCAGGAGTGCTTCCTGTAAGAAATTTGCTGAAATTCGCTCTTTTACTCACTGGTGACATATACTTAACTATGAATTTCAAGTAATACTTCATTCCCCCCCCACACACACACCTTTTTATGGTGCTCAAGGCTTGTTTCTGTCTGTCTGTTTGTTGTATCCAGATATCTTTCAGGATGCTGAGGCTTTACCCCCACTCCCCTTTGAGTATTTTTTATTGGATTATTATATATAAATGTTGATGGTCGATTGCTAGCTATCTAGATGACCAAGAAATGAATCCACTGAAGCAAAAATGGAAAGCAATTCGTAAAAAGGCCCTTCAAGCCTTAACAACTCAAGGAGTAAATAGGGAGATGAGAGATCACGATGGAAGTAAGAACGAGGAGCAGTCTTCAGCACGTAATTAGAAGGATTTTGGAACTTGGTTAAGAGGCCTATCAGGCTTTGAGTTAGAGGGGCCTCCAAACTATGACGCAGTAATCTTAGATTTCGGGGGGGGGGGGATGGACAGGAATGAGGATATTATATTCTGTTTAAAATACAGATTGAGCAAATACAACCTCAAGCATAATTGTTTGAAACATCTGTGCAACAGTCAAAGCCAATACCCCTTATTAGCCTTGACACACATGAAAGTAGAACTGGGAAGTTGTTGTTTTTTTTTTTTTTTGTAGAAAATATGTTGTGCAAAAGAAGTCATTTAGTGGGTTGCTGTAAGATTCTCGGTCTGACTGCGACAAGCCCCATTTTATGACCGACGTATTGCAGTGGATGACCTATAAATCCTTTTTTGAGCACAGTTTTTTTCATCTTGATTGGAAGCAAGAAAAAAAAGGTCTCGGAAGGCTTAGACTGGATATTTTGTTCCTTTTTCTTTATCTCATTCTATTGTTTTCTTTTCCTTCCTAACTCTTCTATTTTTTTTCTCCACCCCAGAGTCCCCTCTTTTTTTTCCTGTCTTCATTTCTTCCATTATTTTTTCTTTTCCTTTTCCTGGAAGAAAAGGAGTCACTCGATAAGATTTAACATAGTGGTTGTTCTGTGATCGACTTTGGGGAGCTAACAGAGATCCCAGGAATGGTCGTGCCCAGATGTGGAAAAGGCCACAAGAGCCCCTGCTTCTGGAAAAGAGTGGCACCCGGGGCCCGGCTCAGCCCGTGCTGCAGCCCAGGATGGGAGTGGCTTCGTGCAGAGGCGCTCCCTTAGATAGAAGCAGCTGATTTATTTTGCAAGCCTTCATAAGTGAAAACCCCCAAATGGTTTTCATTATGCCAATACAGGAAGGAGATTATGAAGGGAAAATAAACAAAGTGAATCTTTTCTTTGGGAGAGAGCTGGAGTAATTTTTGAAGATCTGAAACAAACTGTGTTTCTTAAAGACACACCAGAATTCTCGGGCACAGATGTGTCAGATTCGAGCACAGATACGGAACAAGAGCCGCCTGCCGCCTGCCGTCAGAACAGGACAGATCGCGGCTCATAATCATCCCTCCCCAGCGACCCAAGACAGGTGCTACCCTTCCCGCGGCATCAAGGCGACACTTGGAGGCATCCGCGCGTGCACCCCGTACGCCCCAATGGCTGCAAAGCCGCGGGGAGGGAAGAGGCCGGGACCTCTCGGCGCCTCAGCACCGAGCTGCACCCTGTGTGCTCACGTCTGCCGGCGAGTACAAGGAGGTGAACAATGCAAAGAAATAGGACACACAGAAGACGCCTGGAACCCACCCTGCCTTGCATATGATCCATGTGCAGAAAACATGTTATAATAGTAGAGAATAACATTTTGAGGCTCTAGGAGTAAAAAAGTCTATTTTTTCCCATAGTTTTTCTCCCCTTCCTTCCATTTTTATAGAAAGAAAGGTGGCGGGGGTGGGTAGAAGGAAGTGAGGTGGGGACAGAGCAGCATCGCTGGTAGCGTTGCCCAAATCAGGATGCTCACCAGACAGGGAGTGATGTGTAGTGTAAGTGTGTCCCGAATGTCACGTGGGGCACGCACGCCCCAAGCAGCTCCATGCATCGCTCACGTGCATGTGTACACGTGGGGGGTAGGTGTGTACCCGCATGGAAGAGGCGTCTTGAAGTTTAACTGGGCTCCCGCGAGGTCTTCCACGACGGGGTCCGGCAGCGATGGGAAAGGGAGAGAAACTCCATTTACAAAGTGCGTGCGTGTCGGGATTTTCTTTTTGATTTTATGACAAAACCTAACGTGCATTTGCGTGCACTTTCCAGTTCAGTAAGAAGGTGCGACAAAGGCTGCTCGGAAAGTGTGGGGGAACTTTGGTTCTTGAGGTCCCTGTAGTTGTGGGCCTGGTTCCCAGCCTCTTAGCTCAGTCTTAGCTTCAGCTTACATGGGGTGGGTGGGTCCTGCCCTTCATGGACTTGATGGGACAGGGCGCCGCGCCAGGGAGGGAAGATCCAGGAGCGGCAACGACCACGAACTCCGGCTCTCCGAAGGGATTCAAAGCAAAAGATCCACAGAAGAATACATCGATCTTTACTTATCTTCTTTAACTAATTGGTATGAATCCCTTAAACTTATGTTTAAAACATAAACTTATGTTTATGAAAGGAGTATTAAATGCCTTTTTAACCGTTACTGAATATCCGTCTCAATTTAGCGGCAGTAATGGAGCATTAGTGTGATCACTACATATGTTGAAGCTATGTGAGGCTTATAAGACACTTTAAAATGGGTAATAATCTACTTAATGAAAGCCCAGCACATATATTACATGTATGTTTGTGTTCATTTTCCGTAGAAGCGGAATTACAGTTTTCTGAATAATTCTTCACTTGTAGTTCGCAAGACATATCAAGAAATCTGAAGGCCAGAAAATCCCTAAAGTCGAGCTGCAAATATCAATATATGGAGTAAAAATTCTAGAACCGAAGACAAAGGTAAGGCTTCTTTTGGAACGTCAGGGGCACTTGTGACCTTTCGTTAACTGAGGGCGTGTTCCTATTTCAGTGCGTGTCTGAGATGGGGTAACTACTGGAACTGGCTAGTTCTCGGTTAATGGCAATTAATGTAAAATTCTGTAGGATCTTTAGGAGGAAAACCGACTTTTGGGAGAGCTTCCAACGTGGCCTGTTCTCCAGTGTGTGCTCGGGATGGAAGTCCTCGGGCTTTGGCCTTGCGTTGAGGACCTTTTCTGTGTGTGCAATGCGAGAGATGTGTGAAGTGCAATCCCCAAGCGTGACAGGGGAGGCCAAAGCCCTGTTATGAAGGTGCCCGACTGCCCCTGCTGCCTGCAGACGTGATCAGCGTGCGCTCCTTCCCCAGGGCTGCCCTGATACAACGCCCCCGACGTGGTGGCTCAAGGCACAGGAGGTCTGTCCTCAGGGTCCTGGAGGCTGGAAACGGCAGACCGTGCTGACCGTGGGGTTGGTCCCCTCTGAGCCCCTCTCCTCGGCCTGCAGACGGCCGCCCTCTTGCCACCTCTGCGCACATGGACACCCCGGGGGCTCTGCGTGTGCCCGGGTTCCTTCCCGTAAGGGGACCCCAGGCAGACTGGGCGAGGGGCCATCCCAGCGGGCTTGCTCTGTGGGACCATGTGGGCAATGTGCTGCACATCCAGAGGTACAGGGAGGCAGGGCTTCCGCATCTGCGTTCTGGGGCCTCACAAAATAGTGAGCACCTCAAGTCCTTGTATTTAAGAGTCCTTTCCCCTGCAAATCCAAAGAAAACAACTTAAATACAACTCATTGGGGTTTCAGATTCATTACGATGGCTTCTTAGGGACCTGTTTTGTTTTTTTTTTTTTTGAGCATTGGATAACCTTTTTTTTTTTTATTTTATAAATTAATTTTTATTGGTGTTCAATTTACCAACATACAGAATAACACCCAGTGCTCATCCCGTCAAGTGTCCCCCTCAGTGCCCGTCACCCATTCACCCCCACCCCCCGCCCTCCTCCCCCTCCACCACCCCTAGTTCATTTCCCAGAGTTAGAAGTCTTTATGTTCTGTCTCCCTTTCTGATATTTCTCACACATTTCTTCTCCCTTCCCTTATATTCCCTTTCACTATTATTCATATTCCCCAAATGAATGAGAACATACACTGTTTGTCCTTCTCCGGTTACTGTGGCCAAGTTCAAAAAGGGTGTTGCCTGAGTTCTCCTCTGGGATTTTGATGGAATCTTGTCTCACATTTAGATCTTTCATCCATTTTGAGTTTATCTTTGTGTATGGTGCAAGAGAGTGGTCCAGTTTCATTCTTCTGCATGTGGATTTAGGGACCTGTTTTTACCCAGAATTCCTGTGTCAGAACCCTAAGCCTCAGAGAGACTGAACTCGGAGAAAGAGCTTTTAAGGTAACCAGTTGCACAAGGCCTTGACGAGGCCTTCATCTACCAGAACTGGTGTCCCGGTAAAACAAGAGGCATCAGGGATGTGCAGGTGCAGAGGGGGGCCCCGTGAGGCCGCGGGGAGAGGCAGCCACCTGCAGCCCACGTGGAGACGGGACGAAGGCCCCTGGAGAGGACGTCTTTGGTGTTTGCAGTTGATGGTTTAACAGTGCCGGAGCCTTGGAAGAGCACAAAATAGACAGAAATTCTGCAGGATGGCCCACGTGTGTGTGTGCGTGCGTGTGCATGTGCAGGAGAGATGGAAACGGACCGTGGGAATGCTAACACGCGGCCCAGTGTTACCAGTGCGTGACTCTGAAGGCCCTTGACCAGCCCTCTACGATGGGGAGTTGCCCGTTGGCAGCTGCCAGTCGTGTCACTCTGTTCTCTAAACCCTGCCTGTCAGAGGTACCTTCCTTCCCGACCTAAATCCCATTTACAAGACCTTAGTGAGGGGACAAGTGAGACCCACCTCAGTCTGATCAGCCGGTTGACTTTGGGCATTATAGTTCACCTTTTACGCAATCAGTAGCACGGGAGCTTTTCTTCTCTGTCCCACGGTCTCAATTTCCTATACTTAATAGCAGATTTTCAAGAAGCCCAATTGAATTTTTCCCTTAACCATAAGTTTTGGGCAGCCCGGGTGGCTCAGCAGTTTGGTGCTGCCTTCGGCCCAGGGCCTGATCCTGGAGCCCCTGGATCGAGTCCCGCATCGGGCTCCCTGCATGGAACCTGCTTCTCCCTCTGCCTGTGTCTCTGCCTCTCTCTCTCTCTTTGTGTCTCTCATGACTAAATAAATAAAATCTTTAAAAAAAAAAAAGTTTTCCTAACTTTTAATAGGAAAAAAAATCTCTTTTTTCATCCCTACCAAGTCAACGAGCAATCTTGGAGCTTTAAAATCTTTGAAATGTCTTATAAATTCAATTATATTACATTTAAATAGAGAGTGACTGACTCTTGACCCATGTATTGAGTATGAACACAGAGAGTCTGAACTCTTTACCCATATATAGAATGTACCATTTTTTGAATCCACTAAAAAAATGAAATAACCTAATAAACGTTTCACAAGCTCTGCGTAGCACCAGTGCCCCTAAGAGAGTCCTGGGAGTGCTGGTTGCTGGAGTCCCCTCAGGACTTTCAGATTCAGAATCTGCAGCAGAAGACTAAGCATTTATATTGTAAAAAATACACCCCAAAGCACCTCCGCACGCGACTCCGATGCAGCCTGTTGGCAGATACACGTGTAGGAACCACTGCTTGAGGAGACCTAAGTGAGGCCGGACAAAATCTGTCACTCATTTTATTTTGGTTTATTTCTTTTATTTAGTCATAATTTAAAAAATTTTATACTCCTAAAATAAATTCACTTATACTAAAGTGTACGTGTATGAGGCAGGATTTAAATATTCATTATGAATCCAACATGGACTTCATAGAAGATGGACTATTTTCTATGCCATTTAGAGGGATGAAAACAGGAGAAGCAATCTCAGCTCCAGTGTCTTTCTTTCTGTGCCTTTTTCCCTTTCTGTTTTTCTCACTTGTCCTTCAAATGAAGACTATGCAGTGCTGGAGAGAGGTGGTATAGATGATTTAGGGACTTACTAATTTTTTGTGCCAACTCCAATAAAATATTGTCAGTTGAGGCAGAATTGTGCTCTCACTGTGCTTAATTGTGTTTCCACGTCTGTCCTGTCTCGCCAAAAATCAGTGCTACATTTAAAATTCATAAAGATCTATCACAACAATAGAAATTTCATGAAAATAATAAGATTATAAGTTTTGTAGGTTTTAGTGTCCTAGTCTTGTTTTGTAGGGAGATACCTCTGCTAATGTAGACAAAAATAAAGAAGCTTCCCCACTGCCATTTCCAGAGGCTGTGACCCGGGCGGTTGGTGAGTGAACAAGGGTCTGTGTTCCTTCTCCACCGGCCTGTGGAAATGATGTGTTTTCATACTCCCTGTAGTCTTTCCTACAAATGGGTAAAAAAAAATGAATCATTTTTCTATGTTATAGAGTAATGATATTTTCTCCCTGTATCATGAACACGATTGTGCCATTAATGAACCTGCCATTAGAGTTTAGGAGCTACCATGTGGCTGAAGGATATTGTTTGACTGTATGGACATTAAAACCAAAAATATGTCAGCAAGAAGAGACTGGTCAGTGGGACGAAGTATAGGAGGTGGAGATGGTGCATCTTAGCACTAAGCAAGGAGGGGAAATGCCCCCCTCGGATGCCTCAGCAGGTGGAGCCGCTCTATGGCATCGTTCCTTCCTGCTGAAACGGACGCATCCAGGTATCTGGTAATGGCACGGACGCTGCAGTCATGGAGTATACGTCCTTGTTCTAACATCTGTGCTTGCTGTTGACAATGTACCATTTGGTTTGTGTGCAGGGAAAGGAGACCAGGCTATAAACAGAATCTCTTAACGTGTATCAGTGTAACTTACATGTTTTCAGTCTGATGAGCAATAATGCGCATCAGAGCGATAGATCACATCTCATCAAGCTGATGCCTCAAAACCCTGAACCTGGAAAGATGTAGTGAGAGTTGGTATAGCTACAGAGTATGTATGCTGTGATCTGCATATCGACATGCGATATATACGCATATGTGTATATGTCCATATATGAAAAATATAGAACTGTAACAGTGTAAATACATATATATATATATATAGTTCAGTAGTTATCTTTCTGATGAGTTAGGTTGATTCAGTCATTTAGATGCTTGAAATGCACACCTTCCTCATGAAGACTCATAAAATACAATTGAATATGAAACCTCAGGCTGAAATGGAAGCGTGTTTCATAGGAAATCTTGTGCAGATGAAGTTACTCTCTAAAACTGTGATGCTAGTGAGTAGCAATAAGAGAAAATGAAAATGTTCTGGTTAAAAACGGTTCTGCTAGTTCTATATCCTTCTGGGAGTATCTTCATTCTTGGGGCCTCGTTGTTCTTCTCAGTAAAATTTCAGGGTTTAAAGTTATTGTCTTTTAAAACCCCTTGTAACTCAAGGTCCAGGCACCTCTGATCCTCTTGTGCTTTGTTTGTGTTTTCCTAAGTCCTGTTGAGATGACTACCTTAGTTTTAATCTGAGTCAGGAGGTCCATCTCCATTACGTACTTGTTTAAGTTTGGGTGCATGTAATTATAAACCCAAGTTTGACAGGTGATCGTGTCACCTTTAAAGTCATAAGTTGCATGTTACTGACACAGGCTGGTATGTCAGAAAATGGACAAAAATCACTTCAACTATTTATTTCCATTTGTGTTCGCAGGAAGTCCAACACAATTGCCAGCTTCATAGAATATCATTTTGTGCAGATGATAAAACTGACAAGAGGATATTCACTTTCATATGCAAAGATTCTGAGTCAAATAAACATTTGTGCTATGTATTTGACAGCGAGAAGTGTGTAAGTATGCCAGATGTTTTAGGGTGGTTTGTTCTGTTTTACAAGCCAGGAGTTGTCTTGTTTCCGGCATTAGCAAAGTATTTGGAAACGAATAAGGTCTGCAAATACTTAAGTACACTAATAGATTCATCCTGTCATGAGATGTGCTTCAGGACTTCATCCCTAACTGAATTCTTATGTTCAAGGGCACATCCTTGCATGCAGATTTCTTTCCTTAGAACGTCATGCCTGCTTATGTTATGCATTTATTTATTTTATAATCATCTATTTGCAATTTTAATCTCAAATATGACTTAGCCATTGGCACATAATGCAAAGAGTAATGGTGAGCAGAGTATTTCTTTTTTTCTAGAATGCAATGGATATGATAAAAAGACATATTTTAAACTCCAGGAAATAAAATCTGTATGGCTCCTTTAAAAAATCTCCAATATTTTGAAAAGCTCATTCTTGATTCTCATTATTCAGAAAACTTAATATAATGAAAGGTAATAGAATCCTACAGGCAGGAGCATGTGCCTGCATGCATGTGTGTTAGCTCGCAGAGGCAATCTAAAGTTCTCAGCAAGTAAGATCAATCCGGGAATTCTTTTTTTTTTTTTAATTTTAATTTATTTATGATAGTTACAGAGAGAGAGAGAGGGGCAGAGACACAGGCAGAGGGAGAAGCAGGCTCCATGCACCAGGAGCCCGACGTGGGATTCGATCCCGGGTCTCCAGGATCGCGCCCTGGGCCAAAGGCAGGCGCCAAACTGCTGCGCCACCCAGGGATCCCAATCCGGGAATTCTAAAGTTAAGACCAGTGATAGCTCTTCTAACCAACTGGAATCTTCAGAAAAACCTACGTCTTGATTATAAACATAAGCTAATGCTAATCATAATCTAGTCTGACGTCCTCTTATAAAACATGAGATATGAATTCCAAGCATACATTGCAGCCATTAATGGCTTTAATGAAGGGAGAACATCTAACCTCAACAAAATTATTGGCTTAGACAAGAAAAAGAACTTAATTCATTTATTTGCTTGTTTTTTCTGTGTTAAAAATAGCAAAGGATTAATATTATTATCACTCTTATGTAATTTATTTCTTTGGTTCCAGTATGTGAGCTGCTTTTCTTTTTTAAAATAAAGATTTATTATATATATATATATATATATATATATATATATAGAGAGAGAGAGAGAGAGAGAGAGAGAGAGAGAGAGAGTATGTGTGTAGGAGCAGGGGGAGGGGCAGAGAGAGAGGGAGAGAAGCAGACTCCACACCAAGCATGCCGTATGATGCAGGGCTTGATCTCACGACCCCAAGCTCATGACCTGAGCCAAAACCAACAGTTGGACAGTTAGCTGACTGAGGCACCAAGGCGGCGCCCCAGTATGTGAGCTTCTTGAAAGAAAATACCTTTTTTATTTGTCCATGTAACTCCTATAATTAGGTAGACAATAGATGCTCAATGAATTTTTTCTTATAGAAAAAATAATCATACAGAAAAATTTACAAAAAGGAGAGTAATTTATTATATGTATCTTTTGAACTATAATGCTCTAAAAATGCAAACTAACATGCTAAGCTTCTTGGCATCATAGTACTTTTTTGAGGATTTGATGAATGTTATGGAACATCTCATCAGAAAAATATGCTCACCCAGATGACAATATTATATGTACAATTAGGCATTCTATTTATTTATTTTTAGAAGATTTTATTGATTTATTTGAGAGAGAAAGAATGAGTGAGCGAGCAAGAGAGAGAGAGTAGGAGTTGGGGTAAGGCAAAAGGAGATGGAGAAGCTGACTCCACACAGAGCAGAAAGCTTGGATGTGGGGCTCAATCCAAGGACTCTGGGATTATGACCTGAGCCAAAGGCAGATGCTTAACTGACTGAGTCACCCAGGTGCCCCATAAGGCACTTTGTATAAATTTCTTGAAACTTATCCTCTTGAGTGAATGCATTATCTTTAATATTCCAAGTGTGTCTTGACCATAATCATTTGCAGCTGTTTTTCTCTGTGATTGAGAAGATGAAAGCTGATATTTGTTGAATATATTCTATCTGTAAGATATAATAACCTTTTGCCACTTGCGCCAGGCAGTAAGCTCAGTTGTCCTTTTTTGGCTTACACATAGACATAGATGGCCTTGGGGTCCTTTGAAATACTCATAATTAGGATTTATTATAAATATTAGCCTTCTTATAGTTTTGTGTCATGTGTTTTTATTTGATCCCCATCCAAATTTATTGGATTACTTAAAACAAGCTTGCCAGAGTCCCTGCATAGTTAATATTATTTCAAAAGTATAAACTCTAATTCACCCTAACATAATTATTTGTAATTGATTTCAAGAGTTTAAATTCCTTGACCCATTATTCTCTTTGGATATAGCATATTAGCTTTTTTTCTTGAGTGTTGAAAATAATTTTTTGAAGCCTAAAGCAGTGGTTCACAACTATTAGGGTGTAAAATACCCTAGGTTCTTTGGCTTTCACTTCAAAAAATAAATTCATAATGGTTGGGGCTTGAGCTCAGGAAGTCTATTTCTAACAAATTCACCAAGTGATTCTGCTGCAGGTAGAGGGAAGTCTGGACTTTGAAAAGAGGTCCAAGTTACTTCTTCATCTATAAGTGTGCATGACTTCTCATGAGCTCAAAGAGGCTATGTTTCCTTAAAATTTCATTATATCATTTTCACCTCAAGGCTTTATTTGCTCTAGTTATAATAAGGACTATATTAATAAAATTGATTGGATATGTATGTAGAACTTTTGACATGCTATCCTATTTAATTCTCATTTTAAATAGCTAATCATGGAGGATTAAAACAGGAGAATAAATCATGGCCCAATTGGCAAACTCTTTCTTCTTACTTTACAAAGTTGAGTGGCTTTACCAATTTACAAAGCTAGGTAGTAATAGAATTGGGATTAAAATTAAGACCTTAGATTACCATTGTAGCATTTGTTCCATCCTGCTGTATTACTTCCATAATTGTGATCTGTTTCAGAGGTCCACTTTTACTGGGGTCTTTGTCTCCTCTATTCATTGTTTTTTTAGTACTTCTGTGAAATTGCTGACACATAGATAGAATTGGAATTCAATACTTTATAAGAGTTTCCTGTTGTATTAATGAGTCTCCCCCCCTACATGGTGACAATGAAGATCACCTGGGGAGCTAGAGTACCCAGCCCTGCTGAGCAGTAATGAAGAGCGGCCAAATGAGGAAGTTGAACCTCTACCCCACCAGGTAGTAATGAGGTAGTGCTCTCCATTCCCATTTCCCTACTGGAATGGTGTCTGAGTAAGCCACTCAAACACAGAGTTTAAATACTTTCTAGAGTCTTATAATATCTAAGATATCCAAGATTCAGTTGAAAATCTCTCATATCAAGAAACAGGAAGATGTCAAACTCAATGAGAAAAGAAAAAAGTAGATTCCGACACTGAGATGAGAGAGATACTAGAATTACCAAATATTTTTAAACAACCGTCATAAAAATGGTAAACAATTACTAGCACTCTTGAGACAAAAAGTATGAAATTTATCAAAGAACTAGAAAATCTAAACAAAGAAATAGAAGATATAGGAAGACCCTGCTGGGAATATTAGAACTGAAAAACTTCAATATCCAACTGAAAAACTCAGTACCTGGGCTCAGTGGCAGAATGAAGAAGACTGAGGAAAGAATCAGTGACCTGGAAAAAGGAGAGACTACAAAATGCCAATTTAAACAACACAAACATAATAGGCATATGCATGCACGTACATGTAAACACATGCACAACACAGACCACGGAGACACACACACAAAATAATATAAACACAAAACAGGGCTTCAGGGATCCCTGAGTCTAGAACAAAATATTTAACATTCATGTGTCATCAGAGCCCTGGAAATATAGAAAAAAAAGAAAAAGAAGACAGCCTTGAAGAAACACTTGAAGAAATAATAGTTGCAAACTTCCCGATTTTGACAAACCCATAGAGTCAAGAAATTGAGTAAACTCCAAATAGGATAAACCCAAACAGTTCCACACCAAGATACATCATATAGTTAAACTTCTGAAAACTAAATACAAAGACAAATCTTGAGGATAGCAAGACATAAACGAGTCCTGTAGCAGAAAATCAATTTGAAAGACAGTGTCTCATTAGAAACCATGAAGGCAAGAAGGAGATAGCACAATGTGTTTTGAGTGTCGGGGGTAAAAAAAAAAAAAAAAGAACTGTCCAGAATTCTATATCCAGAAAAAATATATACTTCAGTATTTAAGGAGAAATTGAAAAATTATCAGATGAGGGAAGACTAAGATAATTTGATTCTATCAGACCTACCCTAAATGAATGGCTAAAGGAAGTTCTCTGAACAGAAAGGAGACCATAAAAGAAGGAACCTTGGAACCAGGAGGAAGGAAAAAAGAACAGGATGAGCAAACATGGGTAAATCTTTGCTTTTCTAAATTATCATTGAAAGTAGAAAATACCAACATATTTTTCACAGAGCTAGAATTTTCCAACAGTCCTAAGATTTATATGGAACCACAAAAGTCCCCGAATAGCCAAAGCAATCTTGAAGAAGGAAAGCAAAGCTGAAGGCATCACAATTCTGGACTTTTCAAGTTATATTACAGAGCTGTAGTGATCATAACAGTATGGAGCTGACACAACAATAGACCATAGATCAATGGAACAGAAGAGAAAACCTAGAAACGAGCTGACAATTATATGGTCAGTTCATCTTTGACAAAGCAGGAAAGATATCCAATGGGAAAGAGACTGACTCTTCAACAAATGGTGTTGGGAAAACTGGATGGCAAAATATAGAAGATGAAACTGGATCACTTTCTCACACCATACACAAAAATCAATTCAAAATAGATTAAAGACCTAAATGTGGGTCAAAAAAACAAAACAAAACAAAACATCAAAATCCTAGAGGAGAACACAGGCATAACCTCTTTGACCTTGGCCATAGCAACTTCTTACTAGCTATGTCTCC